TTGTAGAAAGATGCCAGTTGAGGCAACTCTTCCATCAGTCTTGGATTATGGAGACATTTTGTCCATGCATGCATCAGCTGCTGTTTATCACTCTTCATTACTGATGATAATGATGCTGCTCATCTCTGTGAGCTCCATGCTGAGGTTGGATAGTCCACAGACACCAGGTTTTATTTATTTGTAAGACCTTTACTGGTTTTTTTACACCCTTACACAGCTTCTCTGCTGTCTTTCAAAGCGTGCCCTTACTGCACATGCTCAAACCACACTGCAGGTGTCAGCTGTTTTCACTGAATTTGGGAGCTTAATTGCTGAGCACCTGTAACCTGGATGAACATGCAGAGCAATTAGACTCGTTTTTATCTTTAGGGCAACTCAGGTTTTTAATTTCATCCAATTTTACTTCTCGCTGTTCTTGTTTCAGCGGATTAATCTTGCCTTAAATCTTGCTTCATTTGTTTATTCCTCATGGATTTGTTATTTTACTAATTTACTAATTCACCTAATTTTAGTGAGCTGGTGTGCTCCAGCTGCAGGGGGAGGGTGAAGATACAGATGGAGACTTTATAGATCTAAAGTGTAAAGCCATTTTAAGGCAGGAAGGGATTATTTTCATTCTAAATGTGTAACCTTGATACACAGACATGATCTGTTAGCGGCTAAATTATGAACTTTATATGTTTTTAAAAACTGAAGGGGGAAAATCCTGCTCACATATTCATTTAACGCTTATTATCATGTTTGTATTCATAGAGTTTTGTGTCTTTTTCTGTTTTCTCTGCCTCACTTTCCTTCCCCCCTTTGCTTCCTCACCTGTGCTGCATTCACCAATCAAGCTCACCTGATCCTGATCTACCAATCACAGTATAAAGGCACCAGATCTCCAGTCGCACCCCACCATAGTGTCACCAAACTATGTGTGGTGTATCAACCGATTTGCCTTCTTTTTCTTTCTTGTTTGCCACAAATTGCTCTCTATCTCTGGGTCCAATGTGACTTAAGCTTGCTGCCTCTCTGTGCCACATCTCTACAAAAAAGATTTCTAGAATTCCTCCCTGCTCAAACCGTCTCCGTGGTCTCAAAAACCTCCCTACAGTCTCAGTATCTGTATTTGGGTCCAGCTGAAACACCAATATGACAGCTTCTATTTCTATATGGGTGCAGCCATGTCCTATTTAAGTTGGTTTTACTGAATCATTGGGGAAAAACAATGCATAATAGTTAGTTTTTCTAGCATCACACTTTCACTCTGTTTTTTTTGGTCACCTTCTGATGTCCCCATCGATGCAGAAAGAGTAGGCCCAGTACAGAGACAGTGAGAAACACACCACCGCCACCAAGATCGATACGGCCGACACAAAGTAGCACAGAGACGAGGAGCTGGACGACTGGACTCCGATGGCGCTCGCCGTCGCGTTGTAGCTGACGAGTCCGTACAGCATGCACTGACCTCCGAAGTTACCCTGAGAGACAGAGAGAGGGGCAGAAAGATGACGTTAGGCCTCTTCTTTTCTCAGTTTGTGTCCCGCTGCATTCTAAACCAACAAGCAAATCAATGTAACAAAATTCAGCCACAGAGTACGGAAAGCAGAAAGTGCCATAATTTGCTTCTGTTTGCATGCGATTCAAATCAAAACACTATTTTTTACCATGGCAAAAAGCACCTCTATTAATCTTTATATATATATAGTGGATAAAACTGCACTAGGCTGCCCCTGAAACATATCTAATAATAATCTGGTGGTCTGACTGTGAGCTGTGCAGTCAAGAGAGGAAGGTTTGCAACTCAAGTTGATGTTACAACTTTTCCTCTGCTGCACAAAAAACATCATTTACCCAAGGTTTATGATGCTGTTAAAAGTGGAGTCAGTACATCCCACCAGAGCGGCATAATAAGTGTTGATTTTTAGCATTTGTCAGTGCAGAAGGGCTGTTGTAATCAGAGTTGCCATTGTAGTTTTTTTTTGTATTTTGATTCCCTAAAAACTGGAGTTGTAATAAGAGTCCCATCACAAAGTGGCACTTTTTTTTGACAATACAAAAATTTGTGGAAATTCTAGCACCCTAGAAAGCCATGAGTTTCCAGGATTGATTATAGAGTACCGGAAAAGTTGCTGCTTTCTCAGCTTTTGATGGCGTAAAAAACTGACTTGTGATGAGAGTTCATACAAAGTGTTACTTGACTTGCCACTCTTTTGCTGGCACAATAACTGGTGTTTTGTAATTTGATCATTGTCGAATTTGACTTTCTGGCGTAACAAATGGGGCATTTTTTGGTTTGACAGCGTAAAAAGCACCAGTCTCGTTAGAGTACCATTTTTGAAGTCTGTTTTTTCAGCGTTTGATGGTGCAAAAAGTGCAAATGTAATTCGAGGGCTGTTGAAAAAGATGCGCATTTATGGTTTTTGACAGCGTAAAACTGGAGTTGCAATTTAATGTCCTAAAAAGTGTCATAAAAATCTCTGCTTTTTAGTTCTTTGATGGTATAAAAAACTGAGTTGCAATAAGAGTGCTGTAACAAGCTACACCTTTAAAAAAACTTGACATTAAAAACGGCACTAAGTGGCGTTTTTTCAGATTGTGCCATAAAACACAGCACGCTAATTAGAGCACATCAGGGAGTTTTCGACTTTTGATGTGTTCAAAATGCCATAAAAAGCTGCACTTTTGTCACTTTTTGACACCATAAACCGGGCATGGTCACTGGACCACTGTAAAAAAAAAAGTCACTTTTTAAAAACGTGACAGCATAAAACAACGGCATTAAGTTTTCCCTGACTGTGCCATAAAACACAGAATGCTAACTAAAGCACATCAGGCACGTTTTTTAGCTTTGACATGTTTCAAATGCCTTAAAAAGCTGCACTCTTTTGTTTTTGACACCATAAAACCTGGCGTGGTAACTGGAGCACCGTGACTTGACAGTATAACAAGCGCCACTGTACTTAGAATGCTATACAAAGCACAACTTTTCCAGGGTTCGACATAAAAAGCAGCATTGTAATTTGAAGTGCAAAGCGAGGCGAATTATGGCACTTTTTGCATTCCATACCAGAAGCACACAAACTGCACACACACACTGGTGTATTAACTGCAGCATCTGACTCCTATAAAGAGGCAGCAGGGCGAATAATTGGGCACGAGGAGCGTCTGGTCCGGGTCACATGACGAGGACAGTAGCTGCGCTGGTGCGCGCACACGTTCTCGCACGCCCGCGCATTAGGAGAAAGTTGTTAAAGCTTCAAAGTAAATGTTGATTTTGATCTATGAGGGCGGAAGAAGCCCTGCAGCTTAAACTGACGGAAAAGTCTGTGCGACGCTCTATGATCGATATTTAGTGAAGTTCAACAAAACAACACACAGAAACACAACTCCAGTAATATATGGAAAACTTTTTTCTTTTTCTTTTTCTTTTTAAATACACAAGTCTATTGATACTTTAGGCAATTTAACTGATAAAGACAATTAATTTAGCGGCTGTAATAAAGTTGCAGTTTGTCCTAAAGACGAAACAGAAAGCAGGAACCTCTGGGATCTTTGGACCTTGGTTACCTGAAGGTTCCCCGGAAGTTCCTTAGTGAAATATTAAATGAGTCTAGAGTCACCTGGACGATGGTGATGGATGCGGCCGTGACGATCCCGCACACGAAGCAGGAGGCGTACAGACCGAGCTCCAGCAGCAGCAGCCCCGTTAACGCCATCATCCAGCGGCCCGGTTCCGTCTGCGCACACAGCAGCGTCAAGTCAGCGGCAGTAACGCGACGCAGCGCTGCCGGAAGCTTTTCAAAATAAAGCTGCAGCCTCGACTGATTTGTGAGAATAACAAGCGTGTAATGCAAAAACAAAGCAAACCAGTGTCAGTTCAAACCGCATCAAGCAATAACAAGTGTCTGGCTGATGTATGATTGATTTTAAGGGTTTAGAAGCATCGCTGATTGAAAAAGTAAATGATATTTTAGCAGTCTATTTTTCCCGCTAAAATAAGATCTGCAAATTTTCAGCTTGTGACAGCGTAAAACTTTCAAAAAGCGGCACTTTTTTTGGCTTTTGCAGACAGTTTGATGGCATAAAAGGCAGGTTTTTAATTAGAGCACCATTAAAGCGCCACTTTTTCGGCCTTTGATGGTGTAAAAAAAGTGAAGTTGTAAGTCAAGTGCCGTAAAACTTTGGTACAGCGAGTCAGCTAGTCAGGCTAAAATGGTGGCTGCTGGTTAACAGACTTTTTTCTTTTTCTTTTTTTTGCATCGCCACCAGGCTGCCATAAAAAAAACAACAACAAAAAAACTATTAATTGGTGGAAAACAGAAATTAAAACAGTAAAATGAAAAACACAGCAAATACATATAAAATAAATATATTTCAAACTGATACAGTCACGCTTCACAAAATCACAAATTACTTTTTGCAGTCATGTATCCTGTTTGATGTGGACATTATCAAGAATTTTGCCCTTTTTTTTTTAACCCCCTTTAACAGTCATTGGTTACGAGATATCTATAAAGCAACTACGCAATTTAAAAAAAAAAAAAAACAAGAAAACCATGACTTACAGAATTTTTAGAGGAATTACGTGTTCTTTTATGACCCCATGAAGTGAAACAATAAAAAAATGTCCCCAAGGGTTGGATCAAACTGAATGAGTTTCCAGTAGCCTTATCAAATGCTCATCCGATGCCGGGGGGATAAATGATAAAATAGCCACAACAAGCAGCACACTGTGGCTTCCAAGACCCTCCAGAAATTCAGTAAAACCTTACAGACTTACGCTTTGTTTCATGTTGTAAAACCACAATTCAAAAGTCGTTCAATGAAGCCAAATGCAACCATTAAAAACCCCCACAGAGGGGTTGTCAACTCCCCTGCCTCTTCTTTAGACACTACTAAGTACCACGCTTATATTTTGAAGGTGAGAATGATCGATTTCTGTCCAATACAAAAAGTAAAAATAAAAAAAATCTACTTCACTCACAGTCAAGTTGCCTGAAGGGACAATCCTGCCTTCCAGTTCCCCTCCTGTGTGTAGTTAGAATGAGCTTCTGCTTCTTTTGACCACATCTCCACATCCAAATGCGTAAATAATCATGTATTTGTCACACTGCTGGGCTGGAGAACTCGGACACTGCCGTTCATACAGATGGATTTTCTCCGGGTCTGCAGCTGCAGTCAAGTGAAACCCCAGAAAGACGAACTAGAAGCAGAGAGAGAAGAGCTGGTTGCACTTGTTGAACTCTGCAAACTCTCCACTAAATCTTGTATTTATACTCTTATTGTGTTTAGATTTTTAATGATATTAAAAGTACATGTTGCTTCGGTGAAACGCAGCATCAGGTGGTCGGACTTAGTGAAAGGCTGAGCTGGTTTACAGGCATGTCATCCAGGAATTAGACTTGGCCGACAGCGTGTGGATGACTGCAAGTGGAAGTTCTTTCCCAGATTGCTTCTAATCAAACCTTGTGACTTCTGTCATATGACCATTTTTACACATGACGAACGGCTGAAATCACCGCCGCTCTCATCCCTGACACACATCCACGGCTGAATCATTCAAGTTCAACAAATAAGTTTAAATGAAACAAGATTCTTTTTTTGGTTTTACTTTCAATATGGACTTGTGATATGATAAACAACATTTCTAAAAAAAAAAGAAGAGCTGCTGGAGTTTCCCTTTGGAGCCAATCTGCTCTTAATAGAATCTGTAAATGTGATTTAAACAGTTCCAGGGTTAAAATTGGGAGATGAACAAACGGTTTTCTCACAGATTTAAAAAATGTGAACGGTATAGACACACATTTGCATGCCTTAACTCTTTTATTGTTGCTCATAAAGCATTTTGATTGTGTGTGAAAAGGTGCTAAATTAATACATCTGCTTCAGAAAGATCTAAGACTTTCTGATACAGCTGATTAACTGAGCTTAACTTAACAACCAATCTGTACAAATATTAACTAGTAACTGCAAGAATGTTTTGTTAACTGGCTGAAATCTGGCCTGATTATTCCTCAAATGTGTCTGATCTTTCAGAATCCAAGTGCCGAGTCCAAAACCTGCAGATACTTTCTGCTTCACAAATCGTCACAGTTTGAAACGCCGCTCCTTCCAAATGTCCTAAATATAGAAAATACAGACGGATATTTTTGCAGTGGGTCCTCCTGAAACTGAAAATAATTCTCAAATGTGGACGAAAGTCTGTCCAAAAAGAAGCAATTTAAGGGAGATTGAACCTCTTATTTTGAAATTTAAGCTACTATGTGGAGCATTTACTTAACCAGGGTCAACGTGACAAGACTCTTTGTCCAGTCTGAGTCAAGAAAAGGACGCATACCAGAGAAATTGTGTGTTTGCGAGTCTGTCTCAGGTGGTTAGACTTAGTCCCACCATCTAAGTATTAGCGTGGCATGTGTGTCACTGTGTTAGATTAAAGGCTCAGTGTGTGATAGCGTTGGTGTCGGCTACCAGAAACAAGAGAGCGAATGTGCATCCAGACATCACCACCACGACGACACAAGCCTGGGCATCACTTTAATTCGCTGATAAGTTTAAACATCAAAATTCACCAAAGTTGTAAATGAGGCACAGATCTACAGAGAAGAATATGTACAATAGAAAAGATGAAATAAAAGAGGCAAAAAAAGAAAAAGCAAATCTAGGAAACATGCACTTCAAAAAACACGTCGACCAACATTTTCATGAGCAGAAACTTCTTCTTCTTCTTCTTCTTCAGGGTGATGATATACAGCAGATCGAGTGGAAAGCTTCCTCTTTGGAGGAAACAAATGTGGCCTATTTAGTTCACGTTTAAAAAAGAAAACATTTCAACAATAAGAGTACGTCAACAACAAAACATTTAAATTCAATATACCGCCCCGCTTGACAGAACCGTAGTTACACTCTGATTACATTGTGCCGTCATGTACAAAAAGCTCTAGAATAATTTAATACCGAACAGAGAGATGGATATACGAGCAAAAAAGAACCCCACTGGTTGGAAAATACGTGACCAGAAATCTTACAAATACACTACGGACGATTGTTTTTGTTCAAGATTTTCTAGCCTGGTTGCAAAAAATCTGATTGGATGTTGGAGGAAATTTTTTAAAAAAGAAAAAAAAAAAAGCATCCCGAAGCCCACACACACACACACACACACACACACAAGGCAACGATAAAAGGTAATATCGAGCAAACAATCATATTGAATGTGTGACAATGAACACCGGAGCAGCACTGAAATGTTTGGGTGTCATTGTGTTGTTTGTGCAAGATTATCTTTTTCCAAAAAAAAAAAAAATGTTGGAAGCTGGAATTTTTTTTCTGCTCTTTTGCTCGGAGGCGACGAAGGGCGACCTCGCAAACTCGGTGTGCACTCAGGCTTTGTCTTGGAAACATTTACACGGCGAGCGCCCGGCAGCACATCTAAATCACTGAGCGGATGCATAGAGTAGCGTTTATGTGGTGGAATTTACAGGGTGGGATTGTCAGGGAATGCATATATTTTTTTTCATCTGCAAAATGCAACAACCACGCGGCGGCAGCTATGCATACTCCCGTGACGTCGTTAACAAAAAAAAAAGAAACAGTCTCTGTAGCTGCAGCACCTCGTTATTTTCAACCTGTAAAAAGCACAAGTCAACTGACTGCCGAGGAATGTTTTGCAATTCAATGTTCCGGTCACAGGACTCCCATGACGGAGCGCCAGTGCGTGTCGGTTTAAGCATGTATGTTATGTGTCTTCCTCTGCACAGTATGCCAGGAGGAGTTTTATTTTTTCTCTCTCGGATGTGAATGGGGTTGTAGAAGCGAACCTCGTAGCAGTTCTCACAGTTGATGAATGCTTTGATAAATCTCCCTTCTGTTTTGTTTTTTTGTTGTTTTTAGTAAAATCGCATGCATTTTTTTTTTGTGTGTGAGCCGTTCAGCCGACCGGACAGCCGGGCAGCCGGAACGCATCCGGGAGAGGACTGTCCAGTTTGCAGATGATTTTGTAGATGCCTTTCTTCCAGCAGGGGTCGCTGTCCCTCCCGGTCCAGATGGCGGAGTAGAACTCTCTCAGAGCCACCTCGGACACCTCGATGAACCTCTCTGGAACCTGCGGGCAGAGACGCCAAAAAAAACAAAGCGCTTTTACGCAAACTTAACAACCTGTGAAGGGAGCAAGTATAGATTCAGTCGTATATCCAACCACCAGTTGAAATCATACCTGCAACTGCAATTTAATTATACCTGGTGAAATGATCTTTTCAGCAACGTGTCACTGTGAGAGCGTTTCATCCGGTGTGCCGCTATTGTGAGGGTGAGGTTTAGTCAAAGCCAGGAGGACACAGCTTTCATCAGCATGTGTGGCTCTGCTTCAGTTTTGATTATTTAAAAAAAAAAATAAAAATCTCTTAATAAGAATTTCTGAGCAGTGAATAGTTTGGCAGCCTTCACAGGAGGCGCATTACAATACACGTTATAATTACCATTCAGTGCACCCACACAGGTGTTTTTTTTAACGCATTTTGTTTGATGGGAATATTCAGCCTGTGTCTTTTGTGTTTCCCTAATTCTCCCGTTCGTTGTGCTGCACAGAGTTTGGTCGTTTCGCAGAACGCACTCAAGTTTTATTGTACCGAAAATGGCAATCTGCTGCAATGATGAGTGTCAAAGGAAGCAAAGGCAGCACAACAGCAGCAACCCGTGAAGGTCGTTATTATTTTTAAGATTTATTTGGGGTTTTTTTGCTTTGTTTTAAAGGGAGAAGGGCAGAGAAAAGAGAAAAGGTGGGATTTAAACCACAGATCTGCCGCTCGTGGCTTACACGCTCCTCTGATATGTGATAGTTGAAATAAAAAAATCATCTATTCACGGCGTTAACTCGAGCCGAGGCTCAATCAGCTAATAAACTCACCACATGTTGGTGAAACGCGGCTTTTCAGACTCACAAAGCAGCCGTGCGACTTTGCTCTCAACCACCACGGAGATGATTTAGTATTTCAGCGTCGCCTTGACTTTTTTGCGAGAGATTTTGTTAGACGCCGACAGTATTTTTAGTATTTCCAAGGCCGCGGTAAAGTTTCCCTGAACAGCCCCGCACAAAAAGAATCATCATCGGCTGAATTTAACGCTAAATAAACCCAATGAATCTCAGTCGTTGGTGATTGTTTTCACACAGCACTCGGTGCCCTCTTCAGCAGGTCAATGCACTACTTCACATTTCTTTCTTCTGCGCAACCTCACACTTAGAAAAAAAATATTATTATATGCACACTAAAGGCAGCAGCACTGAATAAAAGCAAAACCACAGCACACTTCATTCGGCGCAAGTAAAAACACCTGCTCTTGGAAATGTATAATTTTCATTTGTATAGTAGAAACAATATCATATATATATACATATATTTTCTCTTACACATGCAGTTTCCCTTTAAAAGCCAAAGCCCTTGAATTTATAGATCGTTCCCAACATTGTTAATAAGCACATGCAATAGCAACTCTATTTCCATACATGCAGGGACACGAATTGCCAAGAACTTGTTTTGTTTTTTCATATTACAGTATTTGAGCGACAGTAACCAGGCAGATCTCAGAACAGTTTAGCTCCTAAATGGTGATGATTTAAGACCTTGGGAGAATAAATTAAACACAACTTTTTTTGTACCTTCAATGAAAAGAAAATAAATTGAGAAACTGAGTAAAATATTTGCCATGCGTGCCCTGGTGGTAGTTAAAATTTTTTTAGAAATGCAACATCAGAGAAAGATTTGGACACAGCTGCTCATTCAAGAGAGACATCAAAGTGATGAAATTAGCTGTAAGTCGCGGAGTGTCGAGGTAATGTCGGCACACGTAGTAATCCTATTTAAGAGAAACAAAAGGGCGATGTCTTGATTATTTCAAGAAGGTTGAAAGTTCCTATGAATGCAGTCGTGAGTTCAACAAGTCGAGGCAGCACCAAAACTGTTGCTGTAGCATCCTGCAGCAAGCTCTATTATTTGTTTTTCAACTGGACAGTGACCCAAAACACAACTTTAAGCTCCGCCCCCACGTCATGATGCTGCCACCACCATGCTTCATGCTGCGTTTTTGATTATGTACGGTTCAGTTTTGGTCAAATCAGACCCAAGAATTATATTCCAGTTGACTTCAGAGCCTCTGTATCCTACTTTTTCTTTTTTTTTTTTAACTATAAACTAGTAGGATCTGGCTTCCACAGTCGCCCTACATAAAACCCAACTGAGACTATTTGGGATGATTTGGACGGCAGACTGAAGGCAAAGCAGCCAACAAGTGCTCAGCATATGTGGGAACTCCTTCAAAGGCCTTCCAGGTGACTAACTCATGAAGCTGACGGAGGAAATGCCAGCAGTGTGCAAAGCTGTTATCAAAGTAAACGGTGGCGACTTTGAAGAATGCAAAATTTCACACATTTTTCAGTTTAATACTTGTTTTTTTTTGCTTACTACAGAACTCTAGATCCATAGTTTTGATGTCTTCAGTTTTGTACTACAGTGTAGAAAACGGTGTCCACACACGACCACTTCTGCTGTATTGTCGGTCCTGATATCAGCTCAGCATCCAAGGCCACATCATTGTAGAGAGCAGTCTGAGATGCATATCGCATTTCGACACTATTCTCCACTGTATACATCTTTTAGGACAAAACCTACATGCAACCTTGTGGTGCTCCTCAGAAAGCTGTGAGCCAATCAGACTCAAGGTCCCCAACCCATAAAAGATAATTGCATCACGCTTTCAGTGCACTGACAGCGCTGTATTAAAACACCCACCCAAGGACCGTGTACCGTTACACAATTAGCCGGCTGAGAGCTGTGGTGCTAAACAGACGCGCCGCACGCTCTCCTCACCTGGTAGATGTTGCTCTTGTTGTAGTGCATGTTCAGTATGCGGTAGAGCTCCGTGTCGCGGCCCACTCGCAGCTGACTCTCTCGGCCCAGACGAGGCGCACCGTCCCTGAGACACAAACGGACTCATTTGAATTGTGAAAATCCAGCGAGAATCCATCACTTCATGTAATTTCTATACATTCAAATGCAGTAATTGAACATCAGAGCTGAGTTGTGGCATTTAGCAATACAGAAAATTATAGATATCATGTAAAATACTAGCAGTTGCTTTTTGATTACAGCAGAACTGGATGATGCTACGAGCTGCTGGCTAACTCTGGAGCACGATTCAACAAAGTTTTGTCATTCTGCAATTTGCAATTCTTTCTCTCTCCAAATGGCCAAACATACGCGCAGCAGCTGAATGTTAAACTAAAGTAAAAATTCCATGCCAGCGCCTATAAAACCCAGTCAAACAATGGAAGTCTTGCCACTAAAAGGACATGCCAAGCCAAACCCACCGGGTGAGGGCCTCTCGGACAGCCTGGCGTGCGAAGCGCTCCATCTGGATGTAGAAGAACTCTCTGAAGTTACTGAACCATTTAATCATCTGGGAGGTCACACAGCGGTTAAACTGCACAATGGACAGCAGGAGAGGAAGTGAGCAGGTGAGAGAGGACGGCCGGTTAGACGATTTCATTCAGCGTTTTACAGCGACACACTTCTCTCTAGCTGAATAAAGAGCACATATAACATATAATGTATGTCATCAGCAATTGTAGTTTCACCTCTAGAGATGGCTAATCTAATTATTTTCCGTTGAAGAGAGGAGAACACCTCTATGATTGTGTTTCCACACTGCATGAGCCTCACAATTAAAGGTAATACTATATTAGCTGGTGGATTGTATTAGCAGACGCTGCCCGTCAGAGCTACGTTCCATCAACACAAATTGAAATAATCGCATGCACATACATGTTTTAAATAATAATAACAGTACATAATGCTTACATTGCGCTTTACAAAGTAGGAAAAAACACAAAAGACTAATTAAATAGAGAAAGGAATGTAGAGAAAAAGGCCTTATGAGGTGCTGTCAGTGTGGAAAAGATGCGTCTTTTGTGTTATTCATTACAGTTCAAGGCCGTTTGGCATTTTGATAGCAATGTTACTCCCAATAAAAGAGATTGAGTTTGGCATCATATCTACAGACAGTTTTACCTGGAATCCACTTCCACTTTATTGTATTATTGACTATAGCCTGCTTGTTATGGAGATACTATACAGAAATTAAAAATTAATAATGACTATAGCCTTGATTTGAGACCCAATCGCCATGCTATGGGAGGTACACCAGGGCCGGTTAGCTCAGTTGGTTAGAGCGTGGTGCTAATAACGCCAAGGTCGCGGGTTCGATCCCCGTACGGGCCA